TGAACCACATTAAAGACAGCGGTCATCGGGTCTCTTCCAAGAACTGTGGGGCAGGTAAGGGACTTGCTGAAGAGGGCATGGTAGATCATACAGGAGTGGTGTGGGGTTTTTGTTTGTTTGTTTTTTTTTTTTCTCATGAATCAGTGAATTTACTGATGCTTTTCCGTGGGGAAGGAGTCTCAGGAGAACCACACTCAAATACACTCAGTATTTGCAGAGGGTGAGAACTAGAGGCAAACTTGTGAAGGCTGTGGAGGATAGAAAATTGGGAGGTAGTGCCAGTGTGGGCAACATTGTGTTGTGTGGCACCTTACGGATGATGCAGAAATTAGTGATAGTAAGAATTAGCTTTTTTTTTTTTTTTTTATTGTGTGGTATCTGTTGACTTTATGGCTCTTCCTGGTGGATATTTTTTTTGTTATTTGTTTTTGTATTGTATTGGCACAAATACTGTAGTATCCAAACTGTACTTTCTATTTAAATTTAAATGGTTTTAGTTCGGAGAATTCAGTATGTTTGATTTGATGTTAACTAGTGTTGCAGTAACTCGGGCAGAAGGTGGAGGGGGAGGATGGTGGTGTGCGTTTTAAATTTGGCAGAGCTCCAGTAGGATGCTCACTGGGGAGAGGTGGGGGAAACAACTGTCCTACTTGCTGGCAGAATGCAGTTAATGTGAAAGCAGATAATAAATCAGACTTTGTAAATCGGTCACAGAGGCTGATTTTTATTTTAATACAACTCTAATAGCTCACTGCAATGGTTATCTTCTGTGGGAAAATGGATGAACAGTATAACTTTAAGTTAGAGTGATACAAGGTTCTTATTATGATAATAAAAACTTGATACCTTTCCACAGAAACAGTCTGCTTTGGTTAAGACACTGAGGGTGCTCTGGTGGTGATGGAATAGTTGCTTTAGGAGACCAATACAGAAATTGGGCTCCTGAATACACACACTTGAATACAAGACTACCTTTATGCTAATGTACGTCATAGTGGCAACATATCTTTGGCTAGAGGTGGCACGGATTTTGCACTAGGCTCGTGATAGCTGATCTAAAGTAGAATTGAATGAGACTAGTTATTTTGGAGTGGTTGAGATAAACGATGATTTCTGATACCAGTCGTTTGTGCTGAAGTTAGAAGAGCAAGATCTAAAACAAATGCAACTTTCTTATTTCTACTTATGGTTGCTTGTAATGCTGATAAATTTGAGCAGGTATACTCAAGTTGGTGGAAATTGATTAAAATGAAGGTTGATATAAAAACTAAATTTGTTTAGACTGCTTCTACCTTCTAACTAAATCTTCCCTTGAGTTTTTTTTACTTACAAATAAATTTCACTTGTTCTGAAGATCGGGAACTGTTTCACACTTAAATTGTCACTTCAGCAATTCAGTTCTATTTCTGGCCAATATGTGAACTCAAGCCTCTTGAGACACTTGGCTTGTGTCAGAAAGAATTAATTTTAAAAAATAATAATAAAAAACCAGTTAAGCAATCTTTCCTTCTCTCCTTAGTTCTTCGCTAATGATGCGGATGCCTAACAATGCAAGACTAGGTTAAGCTTTTGGCCAGTATCTGTTTGTAGAAGTGTTGAGGTAACTGAACTGTTGTATAGATGGAGTATGATACAAACGAAGTGAATTGGTGACGCAAAAATTAAGGGCTTACCAGAATAAGGGACCTATTATGACACTGTTTAGTAACAAATCTTATGAAAGCTAATGTATATAGTGTCCTCACCCCGCTTTCTAGTTGAGCGATTTAAGTTGGCAAAGCTCCAAGTTTTAAGTTTTCTGATGCTTTCGTTCAGGTTTTTCTTCTCCACGCTACCTGCTGCCAGGGCTAGTTCTGAATGTTGGGACTGTTAGCAAACGGTGTGCTCGTGTGTTGTTGTACGCATTTGGAATAATCCTGAGTTGGATAAATTATTGCTTCAGTAGGAGGATTATCTTAACTGTTTCTTGATTTTTTTTTTTTTTTTAATTGTAATTTGAACCCTTGTGGTTGCCAAACAAAATTTATTTGATGGATCTAGCTCCAAAAAATGTGTATATTTATACAGTTTTTTAATCACCTGGTATGTGGGCAAGGAATCAATGCTTCATAGTAGCTTGTATTTGAAAACAAATAAAAAGCAAGTAGTGTGATTTTAGGGAAATGCAGGTATCTTTGTGGGTTACCGGTGCCCTCTCGAGGCGAAACTGAAAGATGCAGCAAAAGCGTAACTGGAACTGCTGATACCTGCTCTGGACTTGTAAATAGTCATCTCCGGCCCACGTTTGTAATCCGGTTTTACTGCTTTCTTGGTTTGTAGGTGAAAACACTAAAGAAGATCTGCAAGGGAAGAAAAGCCTGAGCGAGAAAGTTTCTCTCTATAGAGGTGACATTACACTGCTTGAGGTTGATGCCATCGTTAATGCTGGTAGGTGGTTAAATGTTTTACATTGTTATGTCTTGAATATCCTTCATAGCGCAATGTTACAAGTTTGAACTTTGAAAAGTTGCATAAAATTTGCATGTTGTGTGGAAACCTGTTGGAAACTACGTATTTTTTCCCAATTTCTCTATATTGCATCTGTTCATCCTGTGTGTCTTTACTGTGACAAGGATTACTGCGAAACTTTTATTGAAGTGGTCACCAAGAAAAAAGTAATAATCTTATACCCATCTTTTGACTTGAGTAGCTGAGATTTTCACACTTGATATTGTGAAGGCTGAACTTTGATACTAAGCTACTGTAGTACATTCCAGTCTGTTTTTATAAATCGAGCCATTTGTGGGCTAGGTAATGTGAAAACCTTAACAATAAGGTGATAGGAAAACTGAATTTCTGTTTTAAGTGGCTTGAATATTTGCTTTTTTGTAAGGAGATTGTATCTTTCAAATTTTTGGTTGTGACCTACAGAGTTCTAAATAGAATCATAGAATAGTTTGGGATGAAAGGGATCTTTAAAGGTCCTCTAGTCCAACCCCCCTGCAATGGGCAGGGACATCTTCAACCAGATCAGGTTGCTCAGAGCCCCGTCCAGCCTGACCTTGAATGTTTCCAGGGATGGGTTTAGTTTTAGTACCTCTTGCTTAGTGACTGCATCTCCGTGTACGCAACTGAGGTGAAGAACTGCGTGTAGCATCCTCTTGTGACAAAGGCGGAGGGGGGGAAATGACTATGCAATTAATTTCTTTGTGCACTGGGTTATAATAAGCTGATTTGGCTGGTTGGGAAAGACTATGGGAAGGTTTCCTCCTACACACACGTCCTAGCCAAATCTTGCCTGCACTCCCCACCCTGAAAAGAATATGGTTTGTGTGTCTTGAGGTGGAAATTTTTTTTCCCTTGGTATTTGGCTGGCATTGTCCTTTGTTTTTAGGAGTATTCTTTCATTTTCAGGAACTAATTTTTGGTGGTATTAATTTTTTGGAAGGAAACATACTGCAGTATCTTCTGTGTGATGGAGTAAAGTGCAGAGATTCCCAACGTTGTATTGGCCAAAATCGGTATGTTGGCTTACCACACTAAAAAGCTGTGTGGAGATACTGGCTCACGTCTGTAAAGAGTACAGACATGTTTGCTCACACAGCATGGAAGTTAGTAAACAGATTCTCTTGGATTGTTTGATGTTGTTTCTCTCTGCCTAACTCCCCACTTTACAGTGGAGACATGCTACTGGGTTTTGTGGAGTACAGGTAGAATCCTTAGTTATCTCAAAATGCATTTTTGCACTCTAGAAAGTAATGAGGATGGTATTTCCATGCAAAAATTTTTAATCTTCTAGCTTACTGATGCACAGAAGCCTTTCCAAATTACAGACAAACAATACAGTAGCATCCATGTAGTAACACGATCCTCTCCTCACTGTGTTGGCAAAGCCTCTGAAGCTTTAATATTTTAATTTTTTTCCCCCTGATTCTTTCAAGATGGCATTTCCAGTAGTGCTCTTGCTGACTTCCTTACTTTGTTACTCTACAGTAAGTCAATATTAGCATACTTCTCTCGATTTATATTTAGATTCTCTGTGTTCATAGGTCTCCCTTGAATTACAGGCTCGAACTGGTTGCAGATTAGCTTCAGAATGGGAATACTTTGCTCTTCTTGATTTAGAGGGTTTTTCTCCCTTTCTCTTGAAATGTCCAAAAACCTATATCCCAGGCTGCCGATGACATTATCTACCTGCAAACTTACTTGCTATCCTGGTAAGGAATGCATCTGAGTAGAAATAAAAAATAGAACCCAATTAAAATCAACACATATTAATATGTAATTTTGAGGAAAGGATTAAAGACCACTCGAAACTACACAGTAAAACTGAGGTTGAAAGACCTAAAGAGGGACATAGACTCTTGAAGTATCTAGAATGCTATTGGCAAAAAGAAAGAGGGTGTTTCTACTGATGTCTTCTGTAAGTTAAAGAGGAGTTGGATTTGTTCTTAATGAGAGATTCAGATTAGATGTTGGCAAAACTACTTATTGGAAGGGTCAGCGATACTCCACAGTATCAGGCCGATGTGCAGCAGCAGTCCTAGGTCAGGACATTGGTACGGGTCGTTTTTTGAGATTCTTCTAGCCCTTTTCTTCTGTAATCTTTTATGGTTCCTAAAGTGCATAATATATTAACTATTATGAATTGTTAATATGCTTAGATTAAAATACTAACCTATAGTTACCTTGAAAAATCAAATACTCTTTATATGTCAATGCAGTAATTAAATTTTAAGTGTAAGCCTTTGATTTGTTCATGGTTTCAGTGTTACTTTTTTTTTTCTTTTGAAGTTAAACCTTTTAAACTTATTGTGGAGGATAGCTGGAAAGCTAAATGAGGAGGATGTTTTGGTTCAAGCTCTATATTTATGCAAAAAAAGCCAGTTGCTGCACACGGGTGTTTTTTTTTTTTTTTTTTTTTAATTTTAATTAAAACAAAAAAGTTTCAGTGAAATTGTAGTGTCTCTTGGATAGCATCTAAAAAGATGTTTCTGCACTCTATGATGCTTTTGCAAAGAACTCCTCCATTGTTTTTTCCTTCTGCAATTAAAATTACCCAAGCGTCAAAGAGACAAAGCAAAAAATAGTCGTGTCCTGTTTCTCCTTTGGAAAGCTCAATCTTGCAGACATTCTTATGGTGTAACTAATGCAATCCCCACAGTACCAGCTTCTGTCCGTAAGTTGAATAAAATGCAGCCTGTCAAACATGGAATAGGAGACAGACTTTTTAGAGGTAAACCTGTGCAAGTTCTGTTCGTACTTGAAGCCTTCTGGCTATCCCGAATGTTAATGACTGACACCCTCCCTAACGCATGGCATGCCACTGGCAGGGGGAAGGAGGGAAGAGACTCTCTTGAGACTTGCTCTCTGAATTTAGGAATTCCATTAACTACCTCCTGTAATAAATCGTTTAACATACAGAAAGTCAGATACAAAGTTTGACTTCTAATTCACATCAACTAACACAAACAACAAAATATGCCTTCAGTAAAGGGAATAGAATGGCAAATTGTGGGGCCGTAGAAGGGTGCCAGGTGGTTCAGATTGTCTCCAGATTTGGATATAAACACATTAGCAAAAAAATGTGTATTTTCTAATACCTTCCTGTGAGGGGTAAATGAGACACAAATGGATTTACTTGATTAAACAGGGGCGTGAGAATATGTGCAGTAACTTGCCTGCAGCGCTGACTTTATGCTGTGATGCCCTCCTTTGGGTATCCAGATAACAGCGTGACTCTTCGGAGTATGGCCAGGTTTATTTCTGAGCTATACTATACAAACACTTCTGTTAAATTTAGTAGCTTACCTTATGCTCTGAATTCTGTTTCCCCTTTGACATTCTCACGTATAAATGAGACAGTTAAAGTGATAACTGGATTTCTTTGGTTAGGTTAACAAAGGTGTTAATGGTGATCTTATGTAGCTAAATACCAGGATATCACTGCTGAGCACTGCTACAAAAGGATCCCGTTTTCTCCTAGAGTTTAACAGACAAACTGAATGTTACTTACTTTCCAAAAATGGTTTACCAATATTTTATACTCAAAGAGGACAGCTGTGGCAACAGTGGAAGTAGAAGTTTGTGTCTTTGCTCATTGTCAAAACAACCGTATCAAAACAGCCACTTTGAAAGAACTTGTGATCAGAGTGAGGATCTATTTTCTGGCTTCTGAAGAGAGGGAGCGTTAACCTGAGATGCAGCGTGATGGAGAAGGTAGCTGAAAAAGGGAGCCGATGTGCCATTTTGCTAAAATCTGTGTCAATTATCTACCCCTGTAAATGTGTTATCCTTCCAGAATGGCTCCCTAAAACTTCCTTGCTACTGACTGCATTGCAGGCAGGTATTAGTTTAAAGGTATTAGTTTAACTTGATGTTTTGCCTAAGGTGTCCTGTTACGTTAATTCCCCCCCCCCCCTTTTTTTTTTTAAGGATTCAGATAAGATTTGTACAAAAATCTTATTTTTACTCCTATATCCTTTTCTGCTCTTTCGGTATTGTGCTCTAAGAACGTGAACAGGCTGTCCCTGAGGCATGTACTTACTGCGTAAATCCACGATAACTGGCCATTTTAACAAAATAAACATTCCTGGATGTCACTTCATCCTGATGCCAAAAATGCTTCAAGCACCTGGAAGCCAGATAACAGCAGTTAGCTGACTTCCAAATAGCCCATGGGAACTGAGCTCCATGGGTGTGGGTGTGTTTAGGGGAGGGAGAGGGAGGTTTTTTAGTGCCTCTGCCCCTTTCCCTTCAGCTCTTAATACGTGTTTTATTCATACTGCAGGCATTTCCTGATAGAAGGCATTTCTGTGGACCAAATGGGCTATGTGAGAAAAATAGTTTCAGATAATACTGGAATACCAAAGCCACAAAATGTGTAATAGCACTCTTACCGCCTCGCCAGCTCCCTCTTCCTTAATGTTTTTGAGCTGCTTTCTCCAAGGTATGATACGGATTTAGGGAGCAAGTCTTTCCGCTGGCAGTTAATTTAGCAGCAGTCCAAAATTAGTGGCGTATGTCCTGAGTTGTGACTCTTCTGAGTCTGCTTGTCTGCTGCCTCTGCTTATTTAAAGCCCGGATGGTATGACACGATGGTCTCATGGCTTAGGTGGGTCTGATGTAGTAACATTGGTCTTGACTGAAGTTTTCAGGGCCTATTGGAAAAACAAAAAGGATTAGTCCACCAGTCAGGGAGCTTATTCTGCGCACTTTTAGGCTTCTTCAAGTATGTTGTTTTTATAGAACAGCCAGTCCCAAATACAGAAATAATCAGTAAAAGCCTCAGTAAGGCTTGAAAAATAAATTGTGCAATATTTATAGTATCAGCTAAGCAGTAAATACTAAATTTCCTCTGCATTTGTAATAAATATAGGGAAAAATGTCGCTATTTATATCATATGCAGTAACTTTTAAATCTGAAGTAGATGAAGGAGTTGCGTTTT